CATTACAAAATGGGCCTCTACGGTCTAAAAGTGTGTTTCATATTCATTGCATTAGGAGACTTGGCCTTGATACTTCCTGTTTTTCAAGTTTTGTGGCAACCAGTTTTCATTTTCATTTCTCTGCTAAACTGAAGTATAGGGCCTCTTGTTAAAGACTCATTGCTTCACTGCAATACAAAGAAAGAGAACAACTGTTACCATGACAGAAGTTATATTGGTTCACGCTGCACTATTGCTGTATATCCTGATAGAAGGGAGAGACAGAGCACAGCAGCTTGTGCTAACTGAGAAAAGAACGGATCCACGTGTACTGTATAATCCTGAATTCTGTTCAAATCCAGCTTTCTGGGTGAAGAAACCCACATGCAAAGAGCCTGCAACAAAACTCAGTTCACTGCTTCAGTGCTACCAGCAGGGCAGGTTACAGCAAGTCTAGGCTCATCTCTTAATCCGTTCGGTTGGGGCTATACCCTGTAAAATCCAGTGGTTCTTGTGTCCTCCTCTGTATAAATTTCCCTGCAGTGCTAATGGAGAAGATTTGAACTAGTGGAAGGAGGAAGATAGAAAGTGTCTCTAAAACAGGCACGTCCCCTTTTATGGTAGAAGTTGGGGGAACTGTCCCCCATCCCTTCTGTCCGTCCCTGAGTGCAAGTTCCCCTATTGCCAGATCCAGGCTTGACTGTGGATGGTGATACCCCTCTTCTAAAGTGTGTACGGCAGGGGTGAGTTTTGGGATGCTGTCCAGGGCTGCAAGGGTAGCCCTGCCCCTTGACTGCCTTGGGACTGTGTGTCCCACCCACTGACCCCTGACCTTGGCCACCAGAAGTCCCTTCCCTAGCCCCAGAAATAGTCCTTTTCAGAGGGAGGGTACTGCCATTTTGAAGCCGGAAGAAAAATCATATTATAAAAAAAAAAATCAAACATCTGCTGTAACTTATTTTAATTTTATTAAAAAAATATTTTTGTCCTGATTTATTTATGTGTTTGCATAGTGTATCTAGAGATGATTGCATCATAGTTTAAAATACAGTCTTACTCTTGAATTTTGTGTGTGGGGGTAAGGGGGTGTATGTGGGATGGTGGGGGGGGGAGTGAGGGTGTGTGTGTGCAGTGTGGGTATGGTGTGTGGGGGAGGGTGGGTATGTGGTGGGGCAGGGGCAATGACATGCTTGTGTCCTGCCTCTGTCCCTTGCTCCTAATCCCCTGCCCCCCAGCCCTGCCACTGCCCCTCACTCCAAACCCGCATCTCTCAGCCCCCTCAACCCTGCTGGTGCCCCTCACTCTCGACCCGCAGTCCCCTGCTCCCCAGGCCTGCTGGTGACCTGCACTCCAGACTTGCAGCCCCTGCCTCCACCCCCAGCCCTGCTGCGCACACACACACACACGCATGCGCACATACACACGCACTGTGCGTCTCTTACCTGGGAGCAGCTTGCCAAAGCCTGTGCGCAGAGCATGTAACCCCCTGACAGCCAATCACCTTCCCTGCTGCTCCCAGCCCCAAGTAATCAAGCTGCTGGTGCCCAGCAAAAACCCGGATATTTCCTTGCATTTTAAAAACTCGCCTGGACACAAGGACAGGGGGCCAAAAAAGAGGACATGTCCAGGAAACCCTGGGCGTATGGTAACCCTAAGGATGTGGAAGTGTGTGGGGGGACTGTGGGAGAGTGTGGGTGTGTGGGGTTATGATGGGTGGGTGGGAGGCTGTGTGGGAGGTTGTGGGGTGTGTGTGGAGTGGGGGGGTCCTCAGAGTCACTGGAGTGTGCCAGTCCCTGGAGCTCCATGTGGTGGCAGTGAGTGGGGCCCCATAGCGTGCAGTTCCCTGTGCTCCCACCCGTCCCCAGCTGCAGATGGTGACAGCGTGTGGGGCCAGCCCCACAGCACTCCCACCCAAGTCCTTCCCCCTCTCCAACAACTCACCAAAACTCCCTATGAGGCTTTGGGTTGGTGGGGAACAGTGCTCAGGAGCAGGACAGGTGTGATTCACGCCCTGCCCTGTGGGGGGTGGCAGGGGCATGTGCATGTGTGGGAGGGGCTGCCTGGGAACCAGCAGGGTGGGGTGGTGAGGGGAGGGAGGTAGACAAGCCTACGGACTTCACTTCATAAATCTACTGGATACAAAAAAAATCACAGACTAAATACAGGGGTAGAGCACACACCAAGTGCAGAGGCTTCTTCAGCCTGATGATGGGTTTTTAAATCAGAAAGCTTGCTAAAAAATTTTCCCCCCAACTATTTAAGTTGGTCTAATAAAAGATATCAGATTCACCCAAAGAACCTTGTCTGGACTAAATATAAACATTGGATTTATGGCACATTATAACCTGCCTGACATGCGATAAACCCAGGTAACCTCTCTGCATTTTACCAGCTACATTTTATCACTAGGTCAACATTCCCCCTTCCCCCACCACCTCCTGTCTCACACCTATGGTCTCCCATTCCCTCTGATCCTTGCTGCTACATATTTGCATTTTCACAGATCTGCATTTTGCATTTTGGCTTCTATTCCACCCAGGAGAGCAGACAAAACACCACCAGACTCTCTCTATGCCTGAAGAAGCGTGTTTGTGCCTGAAAGTTTGCAAAGATCAATTTTTCCAAAGATTTAGTTGGTCTAATAAAAGATATCACAGCTACCCAGAGAACCTTGTCTGCCTGCGTCCTTAGACCAACATCTGATGCTCTATTCCAAAACCTTATTCAGTCTCTATTCATTCCTTGGTACCTGTAATCAATGTTCAACTTACTTTAGCGTAACCAGTAACAGAAACGGTCACTCTTCTCCATGAATAACACCTGAATGGTAAAGACTAGCAGATATGAATAATCTTTAACTTTGAGACCACGTATGGCTCAGCTCTTTCCAGATTTTGTGAGCTTTCGGCTGAGATAAAGCTCAGGTTGAACTGGAGGCTTACTAGTATCAAATCGCGGTGCTAATCCACAAAGGTATTAAAGTCTATTACCCATTTGCAGGATGGCTCTGTTCTCCATCTACCTTGGCATTTCATTCTCAAAGGCTCCCAAGATATGTAGGGTGAGGCATGTCTCTCCTCTTCCCAGATCCCGGTCTTCAAAAACTAGGTTGGAGGGTATTTTCAGGACATCTGCATAGCTTGCAGGGTTTTCTGGGCATGGGCATAAAATCTTATTTTGCTGCATCTCGTAACCAATCCTTCCCTCCCTTGTCTGCTGTCATTATTTACTAAATTCATTAAAAGGTGTGTTTAATCCTACTGCCGAGATCTGTGACTCAGTCCCACTGACTTCATTCAATGGATTAAAAAGTCCTTGGAGCAGAGACTCTGTCTTCCTTTAGTGCTGTACAGCAAAGAGCACACCGCTGGCACTATACAAATCTTATGAACATTTTAAATGTACATGTTAGCATCCTACACAGTAGAAGCCTACAAAATTAGATTATGTGGAACAGCAGAAAGGACACCAGACAACTAAAGATGACAATATTTTTATTTTATAACAGTACAGCTAATTAACGATTACCAACTGCTCTAAGTCAAAGCCACGTGTGTTATAATAGCAGCGAAAATTTAAGGTGCATGTGTTTCAATGTAAAACAGGGATGGGGAATCCATGGCTCACATGCCACAGACAGCTGATATGTGTGTTACAGGAGCCCCGTGTGCTCTGTAAATGGAGAGGAGGCATCAGATGTCACTTCCAAGAGTCAGGTTAGCTCTTCCCTGGCCCTGCAGCTGCCACCAAATTCAGGTCTTTGGATTCTTGCTCACCATTCAAAACTGATGGTTGTGGGCTAGGGAAGGGTTAACCTGGCTTGGGGTGGGGGCACCTCCCCAAGTTGGGGCAAGTCTGCCAAAAAGGTTGGACACCACTGGTGTAGAATATCAACAGGTACATGTCTAATAGAATCAAAGCTATGTCAGCCGAGAATCCCTTACCTACGTACTAGCAGATATGCTATAATTACCAGCAAAAGAAAATATAAATTTAAATGGCTTAAAATGCATTATCTTTAGGCTCTTAAACATAATCAAAGACTCGGAGCTGTCTAATTTGGAATGTGGTGGGCACCTGGGGTCCAATGCTTTCAGCTGGAGTTTTTGGCACTTAGCACACCTGAAAACTGTGAAACAGACTCCAAAATCATATCACACATTAGCACTTTCCATGTTCGATACACTTCATTACTGCAAAAAAGCCCCACAACACTTCCTGTTTTTATAAAACTTTCATGCAGCTTTCCTCGAGTGAGGACGCAAGGGGATGAACCGCATGTGATAGATGTTGGTTACCTCTGTTTAAAGAGTTTTTTGCCGAAGGTGTGTTGATTCCAGGGGGGTGGATGTCTTATAAGGAGCTGAAAAGAGCACGTAGCTGGGTGAATTAATGGATTTTTTTCAAAATATGGGGCCATACTGAAAGAATGGAAAAAATTCAGTGCAGGATTTTTGTCAAAGTGACAGAAACTGAGTGTGTAGGTGGGGTGGGAGGGTGTTAAATTTGAAGTGTTTCATTTGATTTAAAAGGAAACATTTTTGTTTTGGGATATTTAATAGATATTTAAAACTTTTTTTTCATTCAGGTAGTTTTTAAATGAAAAGTGCAGTTTTGGAATGAAAATTTAAATGAAATGTTTCATTTGGGTATCGAAGCAAAGAAACAAAGTGGCATTTTCAACTTCTTCCCCTCCCCCCCCATACAAAACTATTCACTGAATTCAACCCAACTTTGTAAACAATTTCAGCCCCTATAAACTAATGGTTTATAGGATAAGGCATATATAGGGGAACCAAAGCACATCAGTAGCCTTATCTGATTATGCCTATTGCAACTGTAAAACCAAATTCTGTCATGTGTAAGAATAGCAGAATGACTCTCTTAGGCAAGGGGGAGGGGAAGCATTGTAATGTTATACTTGCATTTGTAATCATCTTGCTCAACTAAATGCTATATATTTCAATGACTATAACTGAAGCATACTCAGCTGTTATGTTTCTCTATTCAATTCCTTTTGCTTTCAGTTCTTCCCGAACACGTTTCAGATAATTTGGATCAGGGTACCCAAACCTAAAGGAAAAAAGAAGAACGAGTATTTGGGCTATGTATATACTAAAACAGCAGCTGGCAACAGCCCAACATCTTCCCCACACATCTCCTAAAGCACTTACATACTTTAATCCAGGGATATCGAACTTGCACTGTCTTGTGGTCTAGATTTGGATGCAGTTGCGGTAGGGGGACAAGCGGTGATGGCAGGGCAAGCAGCAGCAGCAAGGCAAATGGTGAGGGTGGCCATACAGGAGGAGTGGGCAATTATTTAAGGCGACGGGCCACTTAAAGAGTTGTGGTGAGCTGTCCAGGTGTCTCAGAGTGGGAGTCTGAACCCACCCCCAGCTGTAGCAAGCCACCACCTACCTCTGCACCCACGGCCCTAACCTGGAAGCTTCTGGCCACATTTGGGCAGATGTGTACTCGGCTAGTAGCTGCCAGGTCTGGACTCAGAAGGTGGGGGGCGGAGTGGGGCATGCTACAGCTGCAGGTACATTCATGCTACCACTTCTGCACTGGTGGCAGCCCTCACCCGGAGACAGAGAGAGGGAGAGAAACCAAGTGCGCCCACCACGCAGGAAGCAGCTCCAGCTGCCTGGCACCAAGCAGCTGCTGGAACCGGAGCAGCTGCCCACCCACCCAATGGATGGGCCAGATCCATTTACTTGGCAGGCGTGCATCTGCATGCTGGATCCAATCAGTTGGTGAGCTGGATCTGGTCTATGGGCCATATTTTGTCCGCTTCTACCATAAGGGTTACCGTAGTTGTTGCTCACCTCCTGCCATCAATATGGGCCACAAGCTGGGCTGTGCACCTGGATTTCACTGGCAAGCATCAGCCCTGTTTGCTCCATTTCCCAGCTCCATGGGCCACGTGACACAACACCATATTAACAGAATATTATACAGTAGTTTTCACTCTGTACCCATAGCACATGCTGCACCCTGGGTCAAGATGTCAGTTCTTGGGGGGGAAAAAGAGTGATGGGATTGAGACAAGCTCTATATAATCTTGGTTACTCTCATACCTGCCTGTTCTGAATGAGGGGGAGCAATTTATGTCCAGAACAGATCATAGCTAAGTACTTGGATGCTTTTTGGCACTTGCACAGCTAATAGGCAAATGGCTTGATGCATGACAGATGGTACCATGAATGGTCCAAATATAATTGAAGGATATGACATAGTATTGCATTTGATGGACTAATTGCCTTGTTGCAGCAAGAAGGCCTATGCTCCCTGTTCAAACTAGCTCTTTGACATGAGTATGACTGAGCACACAATTCTTGGAGGATGGGAGTTTGCAGAAGTTGTATAACTGCCAATGTACTATAACAAGGTTTGTGCACAGGCACTCAGTACCAATGTAAATGGCAATGCAAGGTGCAAAGATAGGGAGAGTGAGTGTCAAGATCTGCTCAGGCATGTGACCGGTATGCACTGGGGCTAAATGTCGAAATGCTCAGGTGCATGCAAGGCTGAAAGCAGATAGTCTAGCACCCCTGTTACACAGCAAAACTGCTTAAAAATAAAATACTCACTGTTGTGGTCCCCCATCTATCCGTGTCTTGTGGTGAATGTCATTCCAGGTGACAACATCATTTGCACCAGAAGTACGTGACTGACCCACTGTGAAGATCAACTTTTGATTAAAAGCCTTCTTAAGCAGCTCCTGAATTTCTCTTCCTTCCCTGTTGTTAGGTAGGTATGCTGTTCGATGAGCCCCACTATATGGTCTCCCTGGGTTTGGATGATCCTTCTGTTTTGTAAAATATACAGTAAAAGATGAGTGTGACATGATAGAAATGTGTGACAAAAATTAATCTTACATCTCAGCTCCTCCAACTGTCCTTCAGCTCCTTCATTCTCTTCAAAATCTCAGCGTACCTAATTTTTTATTTTGTTCCTCAGCTATCATGGTTTCTCTCTCCTCTCCTCTAGTTTCCCATTCATTGCCGTTTCTATATATCGTGTTCCTGCTATCCTGATCTCTCTTCCTTTCATCCTTTGTTTTTCCCATTCACACCATCTTTTTGTATGGTAGTGACACTACTATTTTTATTGCAGCAGTAAGTAAGGATCCTAGTCAGGACTCTTTGTGTCAAGCACTTATCAATGCACTGATGGGATGACATGAAGGTGAGGGCTTCAAGTAAGGGGCCATCTCCTTGGATGGCTTCTTCTTGAAGCCTCTCATCCCTCCAGTGCACTGATATTCCTACCCTTCATCTTCCTGTAATCCAATACAAGGCCCAAGAATCTCCTCTCACAGCATCTTTACACCTTACTTTTCTATTGATTTTGACTGAGTTAGTTTGGATTCTTTCACACACGTGAAAGGGAAGCTCAGGCCCATTGTGCATATAAGTGAGGCCTACCACTTGGCTGTATCTTTTACTCCTGATTGGTTAATATTGGATTTTTGTAGGGTTTTCATTGTAGCCCCGATCAAACATTTTATTGCATATTCATAGTACTGTCTAAAGAAATATAATATAGTGTGACTTGATTTGATAACTCTTTAAAAACCTAAGCTTTGTATTACTTGAATTTAACAGAGTACCTGAGCCTAACAAAAATTACTGGATTAAATACCTACTAGGTTAAACCCCCCAGTCTTTCTAGGATATAAAAATAAATGGATGAACAATATTGAATTCACATTAGAGTTCTATTTTTTAAAATTGAGAAACATCATATATCACCTTCAAATATACTTACAGATTGAATTCCATTTGGTATATGATAGCTGATCACAAGGGTATTACATTTAGGATAACCAGCAAGTGAATAAGATGCAGTGGAGATAGACATTGATCCTTCTGGTTGATTGCCTTTTGCACATCCATAGAAAGTATTACAGATAGGACAGGCTGGCTTATACTGCATTGACTTATCAATGCATACTTTGCAAAACTCATGCTTGCACTTTGACAGTGTTACTTTTTCACTGATTTTATCCATGCAAATAGCACAGCTCTCTTGGGCTTGCTCTTCTCCTTCTGCCTTTGGTCTAGATTGCTCTTCGGAAGATAATCTATCCGTTTTTCCTCTATAAGTTTCCTGCGATACTCCTGCTGTCACTGTAAAGTTGGCCCCATGAGACTGTTGGGTGCCATAGGCTGTTCCAGTTTTAATTGGAGCTGTTTCAGTTTTCATTTGGGTCGAGTTCTCCAGCCAGCTGAATATGCACTTTTCAGCAGCAAGCACGGAATCCAATAAACCAGTTAAAAGGAGTTTGTCTTCCTTTCTCCTGATTATTACATGCAAGTTTTCTGATTGCAGGTGATCAAGGTATTTATTCAGTTCTTTTTCCTGAACAGCTGGAAGTTTCAATAGAAAGGCTTTTTGAACGATCATTGATGAAATAACCTGAAATGCAGTGATGAAGCTTTCATATGCATGTGAAGACATATCGGAATCCTTGTTCTTAGGCTTAAATATAATGCGCAATTTCTGGCTATGTAGACAGGGCTTTTTTTCCATGGTAGTATCAAAATTTACTGTTATCTCTTCAATTTCTTTATTTAACATAGTTTCTGCCAATTCAAATTCAGTAGCATCAACTTCAATTCCATTTTTATGGGTGTAATATCCAGCTCCTATTCTCATATTTCTTTCAACTGGGCTGTTCATGTTTTTCTCTTCTAGAAATGTTTTTGCCACTTTGATCTCATTTGCTGGACCCCGGAGTATTACTGTATTCCCATGCTTTTTGGCAAGAATACCCCTGAACTTGGTGTGTACTTTCTGTACTGCTTCATCCAACTCAGAACTATTTGCAAACTCCACTTTCTCTTGTTTCAAATCTACTGCTACTTTCTGAAAAGCGGTGATAAAAGACTGTTTAGCATTTTCTGCCAACCCACGACTCCCAGCAGATAGGATGTACACTGAAACGAGCCCGTTGTCTTGTTCCTGGCTTTTTATCTCTACACTGAAACGTTGCTGTAATTCTTCAATTTGTTCCTGGCAGACATGGTTAAAGTATTCATAGAGAGCTGACTGCACTTCAAAACTGCTCGCTCCATCCACACCATTCTTATCTTCCAACTCCTTCATTCCTTCAGCATGTAAAAAATCAGCACGTTGGTCATTCTTTACGAGGAGCTGATTAAAGCGGTGATACACTTTTTCAATATCTGCATAGGTTCCTGTCACTTTCTCAATCCCATGGTCACTAGGATTTTTTTCTGGTTTTAAGCCTGGGTACATACTGATCACTTCCTCCCTTTGCTGCTTAGTGAACAGGTGGGTATTCAAGGTGGCAGACACATGGAGAAAAATCTGAAAGCGAAAGAAAATAAAGAGACATCAGCAGCAGAGTTTTTAAAACTCTCAGCTTGCTTCACAAATATTTTATAAATATATAAAATATATACTTTTTAAAAAAGCTTTCTATTCCAGTGGTCAGTGATTTTATTTGGTAGTAGGCCAGAATGACCCAGCCTAGGCACCAGGCACTACGACCTGGCTGGCGCTGTCACTGCCATTTCTCCCTGCTGTGCATCTATGGCGTGACATGGAGAGTACCTGGCCGTGCAGCTCGGGCAAAGCCTCCCGGCTCCAGACCAAATCCAATGGCTCTGTGGGCCATAACTTGCCAGCCCCTGTTCAATACTGTTTCTAAGCAGTCAGAATGACTCTGTTCTTTCTACAAGTAAATATTCCTGCGTATAATCGTCTATTAATACATGTATACTGCTATTGAAACGTGCATGCAGGTAGTGGCAAATCTTCTATGCGCTCACGTGAGATGGACAGTGGCAATATAAAGAAAACCCATGCTTTTTTCTTAAATTGAAATCAAGCAGATGTTAACACGACATACAAAATATCTTACGATACACTTTGGAGTCTCTGTCTGATGGCATTCCTTAGAAAACCTCTAATAAACGAACCTTAGGACCAAGACATATGACCTGCTAACAGTGGCTTAATTTAAATCAGTTTTTCTACCAGTGTCAGTTAAACCAGGATCTAGAGTGGACAGGCAACCAGTCATCCCAAGGTTTGCTCACTGCCTATGTGCTATTATACCACTGCCTAACTAGGTGGCAGGGGAGCAGGTAATAGTTTAGTTACATTGAATAAATATCTACCCCAGGTTAAGTGCAGACCCACAACACCTCAGTGGTGCAACTTGCACTGGTGTATTTCTGCTGTAGTTTTTTTTCCTTTCTGGGGTAAATCTTAATTTTCCTAAACTACACTTGTGTAGGACTAAGCCACATCCTTCCCCCCCACTCTTTCATTACACAAATATAAAGGTAGGTTAGACTGCTGTGTAAATGTGTCGCATACCCAGGCCTTCAGTCACTCAATAGCAAGCCAGACCCAGGATCAGAGTGCGCAAACTAGGTCTGAAAAACAGAATGAGTTTCTAGATTTCAGGCGACCTGGGCATGCCACAAACACAAAAGAGATGGAAATCTTTACCTCTCAGTCATCCCCTCCCCACCCAAATCACCCCACTAATCTCTGTTTCTATGCTAAGTGGAAAAATCATAGAATCATAGAAGTAGGGTCAGAAGGGACCTTGTAGATCTTCAGGTCCGACCCCCTGCCTGGGCAGGAGGAAAACTGGGCTCAAATGCCCCCAGCCAGGTAGGCATCGAGCCGCTTCTTAAAGACCCCCAGGGTAGGAGCCAGCACCACTTCCCTTGGAAGTTGGTTCCAGATCCTAGCCACCCTGACTGTGAAGTAGTGCCTTTGGATGTCTAATCTAAACTCCAACAACTTGTGGCCATTATTCCTTGTTATCCTGGGGGGCGCTAGGGGAAAGAAGGTCTCCCTCAAACCCTTCTGGTCCCCACTAGTGAGTTTATAGATGGTCACAAGGTCCCCCCTCAGCCTTCTCTTTTGAAGGCTGAACAGGTTCAGGTCCCGTAGCCTCTCATTGTAGGGTCCCTCCTGAAGTGGGGCACCCAGAACTGGACACAGTACTCCAGCTGCGGCCTGACCAGTGTCGCGTAGAGAAGGAGGATCACCTCCCTGGCTCTACTCGAGATGCACCTGTGGATGCACGATAAGGTCCGGTTAGCCCTGCCGACCGTGACCTCGCATTGTCGGCCCACGTTCATCTTGGAGTCAATGATGACTCCAAGATCCCTTTCTGCCTCTGTGCTCTCAAGAAGGGAGTTTCCCATCTTATAAGTGTGCTGCCGGTTACTACCGCCCAAGTGCAGCACCCTGCACTTGTCAGTATTGAAACGCATCCTGTTTTTGTTAGCCCACCCCTGCAACCTATCCAGGTCTTTCTGCAGTCTTTCCCTCCCTGCTAACGTGCCCACCTCACGTGGATGACTGCCCATATTCGTTGAGTATGAAGTTTACAAATTCAACATACAATAACCATTTCCAGCTTTTCAATTTTTGCTAGAAAGTGAAACAAGCTCTTTTCCCCTAACTGCTTTATGGAAGCTTAGCCACAGCTGTGTTACGTTACCAGACTTCAGAGAACCAGTGTTTCATACATCTTTGGACGTACCTTATCAGTAAAAGCGCTAGATGAACTGTTGTCACGTTCCTTACCCAGGTGTTGGCTAGCAGTACTCTTCTGAGGCTGCAAGAAGCCTGAAGAAGCAGATAACCCTGAGGACAGCGGTGCCGACTGGCTTTCCCCAGGATCTGCTGCATCCAACTCTGGCTCAATTGAGATCTCCACATTTCTGTCGCCCACCTGTATCTCATGACGTCCACGTGATTTTACCCGTTCCTTTGCTAGAGCCATTTGGGAACAAATTGGGGGAAAACATCAGGAACGGCTTAGCAGATTGATGAACCCCAACTAGCCAGCAAGGCTGTAGTGCCTGGGGCACATCCTCCCCCAAAATGCAACACGTACCAAACCCCAAAGAGTTTTCCAGCCTGTCATAAGAGGTGCCGGAGAGTCTACCAGGGTGAAGGAGGCCAGAAACCAGCCCCTGTAACTGCAAGGGGGTGGCGTCCGGACAAGGCAGGCTTGAGGGCCCTGTCCTCCCTCTGAGATTTAGAGGCACAAAATCATAGAAAGCGAGGGGTGGGAGGCACCTCACGAGGTCAGCTAGTCCAAGCATCCCAGCCAAGACACGGTCCACCCGGGTCTTAGAAACCTCGAAGGATGGAGAGTCCGCCGCCTCTCTGGGCAGCTCCGCCACCCTCCTATAAGGAAGTTTTTCCTAATATCGAACCTAAACCTCCCTTCCACAAACACCGCCTCAAGCGCTACATGCAGAGTTGTAAGAGGCTGCTCTAAAACTCCTCCCGTCCCCTGCCTATGCCCCCTTACATCAGGGGAAAGGAGCAGGCAACACGTACAAGACTCAGACGGCTGCCACCCGCTACATCAAGGGCGGGCAATTATTTTGGGCGGCGGGCCATTTACTGAGTTTCGGCCAGCCATCGAGGGCCACACGACAGGCAGCCAGGGCAGATAAATATCAATTGTCTAAATGTTTTAGGGGGCGAGGGGGGCTGGCGGGGGCTCACCCTTTGGGCAGTCGAAGCACACGAGGTAGGTGCCGGGCGCGGGGCCGGGGCGCAGGCTGCACTCGCCGCCGCCCGAGCGCTGCGGGGACTGGAAGTGCAGCTGCAGTTTGCGCTCCAGGCGCTCGTCCGCCGGCGCGGACACTCGCACGCAGA